TTGATAACAGTATGTGCAAAAAATTTGCTTTATTCCACCTCTAGTTTGAAAACACGCTTGGATATCCACATGAGTGTACACTTGAAAAAATATGTGCAAAGCAATACTTAGAAAAATATCTTCTGAAATAATGTTATCTGTATTGCTTGCAAATTGACAGGTCTATGTCTTTACCTGAGGTTTATGTTAATGTTACAGCCAACGCCGTTTGTGCTGCTCTGATGTTCCTACTCCAGTTCCCTGTGCAGCACCACGGACAGCTCCGCCTTGAATGTCATAGTAGGCTAAAAATAACAATTTTATGTACAGACTTAAAAGGATTTTTTTTCTAAACCATAACAGTTGCAGATTTCAGTTTGAAGTGCTTCTCTTAGGGTTGTGTAAGACTATGGTCTCTGTAGATTTAAACATATAAGTTGTAATCAAACAGATATGCTAATGAATTGTTTCCACCCTGAAAAATCTCCGATCTCAAACATTTCATGACATTAAAACAAAATGTTATTTTATAAGTTATTACATTACATTATATCACCAGAGGTTTCATATTACATGGCTATTTTGGGGAAATCGTGGCTCGGGGTTTAGAAGCTTGCCCTGTAACAGGTGGGTTGCCGGATCAAACCCAGGCTCCATCCATGTTGGCCCTTGGGCAAGACACTTCAGCCTTGCCTGCTGGTGATGGTCGGAGGGGCCAGTGGTGCCAGTGTTCAGCAGCCTCACCCTTGTCAGTGTGACCCAAGGCAGCTGTGGCTACATTGTAGCTCATCTCCACCGGTGTGTGAATGTGCCCCTGACTTATGCACTATGCATATTATATTTTTTCACAGAAGTTTGTATTCGTTTGCAAAGGAAATTAGCTTTGGATCTAGCCATTGTAGAACAATTGTCTTAAATTTCACAACATTTCTGCGGGAAGTTATTATTTTTATTTATTTATTTATTGCGATGTAAAAAATCTTGCTTTAAAAATAATTTGCATAAACTATTACCATTTCTAATATGAGTTGTTTTAAGTAACCTTAACTGGGACCCCTTGTTGAGTACTAGTTGGCACGTGTGTTTAATCAAACATGTGTCTTTAAACTAAGGCTATTTGAACAGCTCTCCCATCAGGCAACTGTATGTAAAACATGTAACCCTTTAGGAAAAGTGAACTTTGGCTTTCCATTCTACCTTCCTTCTTCCAGAGTACTCTCATTTGCAGACCTAGGATAGAGTGACCAAGTAAAATATTTATGCTAGGTCTTGCTGGAATGTTAGTTTAGCAGTACCCTATTGATGTTTAGTAATTACCTCTAAATGAGAACATCAGCACCATTAAGCATTACCCCACATAGAAGAAAAACAACAATAAGCAAGTCATGGTCCATCTTCTGTTTCAGATGAGCTCTGGACCTGACTGATCAAATAAGGGCATCACTTTTGCACATTTAGCCACATCTTAAGTTCAGTAATAACATACAATCAGAAAATGTTTTAAAGATGTTTTTTTTAACTAACAGAGTAAATTAGACAAAGTGAAAAGTATGAGAAAAATGTAATAATCTGATGGGATGATGAGTATATTTCTGTGTGATATAAATTAAGCCCATAACCTGGATGACAAATAATCAAGTGACACATTTATTATGCCATTGAGGACACATTTTATTTTACTTACTAATGCATGAAACCTAATTACATTGCGCTTTGGATTGTAAACTCTATTACATTTGCTCAATTATTCATTTTGTCTCTCTAGTACTTCTTCTGGTTGCAACAATGAGCAAGTTCCCTGCAGCTGTGTAATTTGGGGGAAATCTTTTTTTGTTGGTTTATGTAAAGCTCTAAAGCTTTAAACAATATTTTCACTGATTTATAATTCATTTCATTTTTGAATATTTGAAAACAAAGCTTAGAGCAGAGATTTTAAATTGGTCCAAAGGGATACAACTGTCCTTTCCCTGGAGTGCTCCCCCTTTGAAAAATTGATTACATATCAGTCACAGTTAAAAAAAAAAAGAAGAAAACCTGTCTAGACTGAGCATGAGATGAAATGGAAAGAGAGAAAAAAGGCTTGTGTATCTTTTATTCCTTTGTGGTTCTTGTTGATCTACCATCGATTGCTCGACATTGGTCAAATATCCCATTCTGCATTGTGAATACTGGGTCCAAAGGGGGAAGTGGTCCAAAAGGACAAGGTGCAACAGAAAAGCTGATTATGACCGTCACTCACCAGAGCCTCATTGATCTGGGTGACTTTTTCTGTGACTGGGATGAAACAGATACTTTGATTGTTAACTATGATTTACCTGGAATGTTTTCATTCACTTCAAGCATGCCCACTCGTGTCTGCCTTTTTTAGAGATTGACATCTGCTCTATAATGGGCTCGACACACGGGAGGCGACATCGCCTCTCCTCCATTCATTTTCAATGAGACATGCGCGACAAAGCGATAATCGCGGGTCTCCCTCCTACCAAGCGAAACGCAAAAAACGTGCGTGTGAAATTTTGCGCTCGTGCACGTGTCGTGCACAGGCGACCCAGCGACGCGATCCCAGAAAGTTGAAACATTTTCAACTTTTCATCGCTGTCGCTCGGACGAGGAACAATCAACGGAGGTTTCATTCACTGACCAATGAGCGGACAGGATGCTCCGTACATCTCCGAGCAAACATGAAGGAGAAGTTGATTATTATTATGTTTTATATAGTAAAATCAGAAGTAAGATTTCACATAACACTAGCAGCACCTTGTGAAATATCATATCTACCACTTTATTAACTCTGAACCGCTTAAATAACCTTAATTCCCTCCAACCTGGCACAGCCAAACAAAACAACGGAAGTTTCGATTTCGCCATGGAATAGAACGCGTACATGGCTTTGCCGCTGGCCGCTGCCGCGGATCGCCTCCCGTGTGTCAGGTAATAAAAGCGACAGCGACAAATTTCGCTGATCGCGGTCGTTTGTCGCCTCCCGTGTGTCGAGCCCATAAATGTAACGGGAGCACACTGACATTGTGTTTCTTTTGTCTCTCAAGAGTTTATTGGTGGGAGCAAATGCTTCATTCGGAAGATGGGATGCTTGTTTGGTTGTAAACTGTGTTAAAACACTTTTTCTTTGCACAGCCACACAAGGCTAGTGCAGCAGCTTAAAGATCCTAGAACCAATCCTCGTTTCTTATCAATTGTTCAAAGTTTCAAGTAAACAGAGCAACATTGCTGAATCAAGACAGCGGGAAAGACGTGTGAATATTATGCATATCCTCTCTGTGAGCTATTTGCAGCTATTCCCTGAGTGGAATAAGACTATCAGTAGCTCTGATTTCAGTGATGTCTACGTTTCAGAAGGGAAAGTAGCATTGTTTTCAGGGGACCAAGAATCATTGCTGTTTATACAATCCTTGGTGGAGAGCAGTCAACTTTCTCAAGGGAAATATGAGCACTGCAGCTTCATCACCTGCTCTAGCCTCTAAACTGAACAGCGCCTCCCAAAAAGAGCTAAACGACTCATTTTAGATCATGCCCTCACCAGTTCAACGGACTGCTGCAACAAAAGACAGCTGTGTTTGCCAATAAATCACATGTGACGACTTTATGTTCTGCAAAGTCCTCTCTACAACAAGTCAAGGACATGTTTGTATTTAAGAATCAGATGTCAAAACATGAGGATGGGGAAGAACCGATTTAGATGCAGCTTTAAATAAATCTCCCAGTGTAACATTTTTAAATTAATTAAAATACATCTATTTTTAATTATAGGAATTTTAAATATAGATGCTTCATTTTTCTTTGAAAAGAAACAGATCTTAAAAGAGACCAATTCCCAAGACACTAAGTATTTTTTCCCCTAAAATTACTGGAAACATTTGCATTGATGTAGTATTAATAATTAAGGCATCAACTATTAGATCACCATTGAGCAGATGATTTAGAGGATATAACTCAGTGAGGGTTGGTTACCTGCCAAACACTTTAAATGCATCATCACACCTGCCTCACCAGGGAATTAAACCAAATGAAATCCTTAAATCTACAGATGCAACAGGACTTTTAGTTTTACATATTAGGCCCATTTCCACCATCAGAACGTCAGCGTAATTTCACCAAACCTTTGTGGCGTGCATGTGTCTCCATTTCAATGAACTGGCCAGAAAAAGGCTGTTTTCCAGGTTATTTCTGGGACCAACCAATTACCTGGCATGGGGTGTGTACTCCCAAACAGCCCAGTTGAGTCACAGGGTGGGATTTGTGTTGATTGGTTGAAACTCAGTAGAAAATTACATAGCTGATGTCACCAAACAACCGAAATTTGTAATATAGGAAGAGTTTTTAAATGTTGAAAATGTTCAAATGGTATATGGCTTTTATTTGATCGCAACATGCCCTATAGGTTATAAATTGTAAGTCGCTTTGGATAAAAGCGTCTGCTAAATGAATAAACATAAACATGTGTATATTGCCTTCGTAGAGTCCTACAACCCCCCAAGGCACTTCACAACACAATCAGTCATTCACACATGCACACACACATTCACACGCTGATGATGATGAGCTATGATGTAGCCACAGCTGCCCTAGGGAGCACTGACAGAGGCGAGGCCTGCCGTACACAGGCGCCACCGGTCACTCTGACCACTATCAGCAGGCAAGGTGGGTTGAGTGCCTTGCCCAAGGACACAACAGCAGCATTCTCTGGTGGTAACTGGGCTCAAATCTGCAACCTTCTGATTACTGGACAACCTGCTCTTAAAGAAATTATTGTCCATGGACATCTTTTGGTGCTGATCAGTGATGTCACACACAGCTGAAAGATTTGTGATATGTTACCATCAAGTTTTGAAAGGGCCAATTCTGTATGGAGACAACAGCTGAGATGAGTGAGCCAGCATATTTTTCCTGCCACCTTCCTCCCTCCCATAAATTTCACAGATTTCCTATAGTGGAAACATGGCTTTTGGATCAGTTGCCAGACTAGACACACCATTCAGTAGAGAAAGGCCACGTGACCTTACCTTTGTAAAAGCACTCCTCACTGTGCATGATGGTAATCCTGTGTCCCCTTAGACAGGAGGTCCGATGGAGTTCACAATGGTTCTGATACAGCTTCCCATCAGAACCACACACAGGTTTATAGTGTGGTTTACAGCGATCCAAGCACCTACACTCTCCTTGGTCAGTCTCATAGTTGACCACACAATGGCGTCCCAAACCACAGTACTTGTGTTCACATGGACCTGGGGAGGCACTGTGTCCCATATATCCTAGAGTCAAAAATGAGAAGGAGAAAGGAAAGCAAAACAATGATTTTTTTTTCTGACAAATGTGTGCACCTTCCCAAATCATCAAAAAGATGAAGAACTTACATTAGAAGTTACATTCCAAAGTGAATCAAATCTAGATCTTATTTTAAATCCTAATGGCACAACGGAGGTTCTCATTAGAATTGGTTTATGTATTTTCTTATCACAAAGTATCAGATTAAAAAATAAGAAACTAATTAAAAAAATCACCCAATGAATGGAAATATGTTGTTATAAATTCCTAAAGATGTTAATTTCCCTTTGAAAATTACATCAGTACCTGGAAGGAATAATAATTTCAGATGAATATTCTTTGAAAACAAATTATTATTATTATTATTATTATTATTATTATTATTATTATTATTATTATTATTATTATTATTATAATTATTATCATCATCATTATCGGGGGGGGGGGGGGGGGGGGGGCTGGTGCCTATCTCCAGCGGTCAATGGGCAATCGGGCGGGGTACACCCTGGACAGAGAGCCAGTCCATCGCAGATGATAATACTAATAATAGTTTATTAATTTTTTAAAGGAACACATTTCTAAAACAGAAGAACTAAACTCAAGATGCTACATGTTTGTTTATTTGTTTATTTTAGTAAAAGACCTTGAAAATGGAAAAGCATTATTTACTTGTCTATTCATTATGGACACTCGTTTCATGTGATGTACAGTAAATCAAAGAAAAAACATTACTTGCCTAGCAAATTGCAGTTTGTATTGATATAATGGATTATTTATGCACAAGGCTAAAGCTGTTCATATAGAGACTGCTTCACAAAAAGCTTTTTCATTGAACTCATAAAACCACAAATATACAGATGATAAATGTTTCAACAATCTAAAGTTATTTTTGTCAATTTTTAAACTCTTTTTTTTTCTAAATGGTCATATAAACAATTTAATAAACATTCCTAAAACAGAACAAGTCATTAAATGAAGACCATTGCCAATATGACAATTTGCATGTTCATATCTTCCACTCTACAGATAAACACTTTACACTGAATGACTTAAGTAGGAGGGGTTTATGTGGTGCAAGAACGGACGGCCATCATGAAAGAAAGTGGCTATAGGATTAAAACATACAAGACTATTTACTCCTTTAACGAGTTTAAGAGATAAGGTGAGATAGACTAAAATTCTGCAGCTATGACAGCTGGGCAGTAACTGTCCATATTTCAGATTTCAGGATTAATTTAATTCACAAACATTGTGCATATTTTTTAACACCTTGATTTAAAGGTCTGCCTGTTACCGTATGTCTCCCCAGCCTTCATTAGTGTCTACAATAGTGGTTCATCACTAAAACAAATCAGCTGTGTTCATGATCTAAAACATGCAGGAAAAGTGTTGGAAGCTTACTGCAGCACCAGGTATTTCAGCTTCCAACAGAGCGAACCGCTATCCACGAACAAGTGGAATATTCTGGCCACAGGGGGCGATAAGGGCCCTTTCTTCAGAGTTGCTAACTCCGAAGAAGACTTTTTTTTTTTTTTACTAACCCTATTAAAGCATTTCAGGACCAGTTAGCTCCAGCCATTGTTTCTTTTATCTAGATGTGTTACTAACTAAACAGGTGAATTCTTGTAATTTTTATTTATTTATTTATTGTTTTTTTTTACAAATTAAACAATTCTTCAACCAAGAGACATCACACTAGAGAACAAAAAGGCTGAGTGAAAAAACATGAGATGAAACCAATAACAGTTAACCAGACAACGACATTTACTCTGATGTAACAAGATAAGTTACTAAGCCTAAAGCAACACTATCTATGCCTTCACCAGAAACTACTGATGAAAATATGCCTTTTGTAGTTAGCATAAGTATATGTATTCCATCTCATTACTATTCTGTGTACATATTTATGTGATATTTGTTCATCTGCGTACTGATTTAGAGGTAATGGATTTCAATTGCAAAGCCGAAGGTGTAACTCATTCTGGCAGAGTTCTACAGACCCTCACTAAGCTAAATCTTCACATTTCATAAAAAAAAACTAAAAAAAAAAAAAAACTTTGAGACCTGAGCATCATTTCTGAACCCAGATTAAATAGTCAGGCATCAGGGTAAACAAAGTGAATTAAAGAGGCTCACTCATATCCCTGACATCTCCCCAAACAGACCTGCCTTATCCTCTAGCAATCAGAGAGGATTTAGACCAAATGCAAGTGTGAGCACTGTGACCCAACTGGAGTCAGTCAATTTGCTGGTTTATTAATTCCCCGGTTCAATGCCGTAATGATTATTCAGGGAGTTTGTGTCAAACAGCCAGGCTTCCTTTGCCACCAGCATGGTCAGCAAAGGGCATAGTGATTTGTTTTTCTTCTTTTGGTAATCACGTGACTCTTTACTCTGATTGTGCTAAGGCAGATGTTCACCATTGATATGTTACATTTTAAAATATAGACAAGATAGTTATTTAAATTTTAAATGTTTTGTAAAAAAAATAAAATAAAATAAAATAAACATATGCACTTATTTTACTGAGCAGCTCTTTGTTTTCAGCCAAAAGTTCTGACTACTGTGGACATGGTCTCTTTCTGGGGTGTCCTGAGAGTATGACACCAGGGCATTAACACTAGATCTTACGCTCTTGGGATGTGTGGATTTGGCTCGTTTCCCCATAAATATCATTTGGTATCTGGGAAGTCTGGTGCACTTTGTTCTTTGATCCATTTCAGATAATTTTAGCAAGGCCCAATGGTGTCCTAGTAGGGTAGGGAAACGCTGTGGCACTGAACTCAATGTGTCACTTCAAGAGAAACAGCAGAACGATGCATGCATTGGCCAGTTGTTAATGAAAACAAATTATTAAATGCAGCAGCTGTATTTAAAATAAACGGTTGTCTGGTTCTAAATTGTCACTAAAGATGTGAACATACTGTAGAAAGACTCCAATTGCATCCCATGTTGCATTACATGGCATTTAAATACACATATTTGCATAAAAGAAAAAAAAACTTCTTTACCTGGGTGTGAATGTGTATGAATGGGTCATTGACTGATCATGTTGCAAAGTGACTTGGGGGTTCCAGGACTCTAGGAGGTTCTATATCAAATACAGACCATTTAAAATCATTTCGGTTCACGCGAACAGTAATATTTTACCACAAATATTTCATAGTAAAATGTGACCAACTGATTACAGTTTAGAGTCCTGGTATCATAAGCTAAATCATAAAAAATACAAATTTCACTAGATTTAACATTTTTTAAAACAGGATCCCAAAATGTTCCAAGACTGAGTAAAAATAATTCAGTTCAGGTTCATGAAATCAAAATCCAAATATTCTCCACCTTTGATGACGCTTTCATGCTAATCTTTTAATACTTTTGGAGTAATCCTGCTAACAAACAAATCTTTAAAGAAGCACAATCTCTTTGCACCTGCCTAATTTTAGCCAGACATTTGACACGAGAATGGGCAAATTTACAGGTTCTTCTAAAAAAATTTGCATATTGTGATAAAGTTCATTATTGTCTGTAATGTACTGATAAACATTAGACTTTCATATATATTAGATTCATTACACACAACTGAAGTAGTTCAAGCCTTTTATTGTATCTAATATTGATGATTTTGGCATACAGCTCATGAAAACTCAAAATTCCTATCTAAAAAAATTTGCATATCATGAAAAGGTTCTCTAAACAAGTTATTAACCTAATCATCTGAACCAACTAATTAACTCTAAACACCTGCAAAAGATTCCTGAGGCTTTTAAAAACTCCCAGCCTGGTTCATTACTCAAAACCGCAATCACGGGTAAGACTGCCGACCTGACTGCTGTCCAGAAGGCCATCATTGACACCCTCAAGCAAGAGGGTAAGACACAGAAAGAAATTTCTGAATGAATAGGCTGTTCCCAGAGTGCTGTATCAAGGCAGCTCAGTGGGAAGTCTGTGGGAAGGAAAAAGTGTGGCAGAAAACGCTGCACAATGAGAAGAGGTGACCGGACCCTGAGGAAGATTGTGGAGAAGGACCGATTCCAGACCCTGGGGACCTGCTGAAGCAGTGGACTGAGTCTGGAGTAGAAACATCCAGAGCCACCTTGTACAGGCCTGTGCAGGAAATGGGCTACAGGTGCCGCATTCCCCAGGTCAAGTCACCTTTGAACCAGAAACAGCAGCAAAAGAACTTGACCTGGGCTACAGAGAAGCAGCACTGGACTGTTGTTCAGTGGTCCAAAGTACTTTTTCGGATGAAAGCTAACTTTGCATGTGTTGAGGGTCTGACCTCATGAGGAAATTACTATGCAGTGATTTTCTCCAAAATGACTGTGCTTAAATTGCTCTGAAAAGCAAATAATCACATCAGCGCCAAGAAACTTCATTTCCCATGATGCTTTGCACACGGAAGCATTGTGATGACGTCACCGCCTAATACCAGAAACACGATCTGCGGGAGGCGGGAGCTTGGAGCTTTCCCGCGACTTCAAAGACTATAAATCATGAATGAGACAAAGAAACCTCGTTCTTTTGCCCAGGATACCTGGCGGTAAGGACACGCTTATCGACGCTCCGACAACTTGAGCACGCGGAAGCTCTAAGTGCCAAGTTGAGCCACGGAACTGCTGGAAACTAAACTGCAAGCCCATCAGATCTGCTCGTTTCTGCTCCCCTCCAGCTGATGTTTGAGGACACAGAACTGCGGAGGGAAACAACAACTCCATCCAGCTCTCAGAAACGCTGTAAGTTATAACTCAGCACAGAAAGAAACTTTGCTGTCTCTGTCCAGCCCGTGGAGAAACACTCGTGAACGCCAAACAACGGAGAAAGCATCAAACCGACGGATGACGCCGGAAACTGCGGAGAAAAACGGAGAACCGTCAAGTCATAACAGCGGGGGACGCCTTGCTGCTTTGGTGATCAGGAAACTCATTTTTTTCTCTCCTTTTCTTCTCCCGTTTCCTCTATAGTCTCAAATAAGCAATAAACCGCGTCT